AAAAAAAAAAAAAAAACAATCAACAATCGGCCAAAGAGCCCATTACTGTTATTCTGACGAGTATTACAAGACATGTTAGAACTAATTACGAACAGGAAGAACCTGTAAAAAAAAATTAAGAAATGTATCACCTGAACTATAAATATTCTTTAGCAAGTCTTTCAAACTTATCCCTAATACTCTCATTGGCACCCAGTTCAACTAACAGTTCAAAAGCCCTAATTTTTTTGCTTTTTGCAGCGCAATGTAAAGGTGTTAACTGAATTTTTGTAGTAATATTAGCGTTAAAATTTAGTCTTTTAATAATATATTTTATAAGGTCCTCACTACCAACACTAGCTGCCAAATGTAAGATAGTAAAGTCTGAATTATTTCGTTCTAACACATTCACATCACTTCTGCCCACTAAGTAATGAAATACAGGCAAAGAATTGCCTAGGACTGCCTCATGTAAGGGTGTATTACCACATTTGTCTTTACAGTTAACATCCAAGCCCAAATCAAGTAAAGTAATTACAATATTCAAGTGATTATGGAGGCACGCTATGTGTAAAGCAGTCCTACCATTTTTAGTAACCTTTTGGACATCTAAACCATATTTTATCAGACATTTTAAAATGCTTTCGTCACCTTCACGACTAATAAGGTGCAAGGCAGTCCAACCGTCTTTATTTTCGTAGTTAACCAAAGCGCCACGACTTAATAACACTTCAACAGTCTTATAGCTATCTTCCGAACCAGCCTTTGTACAGGCCAACATTAAAGGAGTCCAATCAGCCCTTTTTAACGCGTTAATATTTGCATTATTCTCCAATAAGACCTCACAAACACAATATTTAGAAAACTGAGCTGCTTCATGTAATGGAGTCTTATCGTCATTATTTTTGCAATCCGTCTTTTTTGGAGTATAGTCTTTTAATAAGGTTTTAACGATTTCCACCAAACCTAAACGTGCTGCTACGTGTAGTATGGTGTCCCCAGTTTTTTCATAGCGAATTTCTGACCAATGAACATTTGGGGATGTTTCTTTCATATAAGTAAGGGTTTCTAACGATCCTGAGTGTATTTCGCGTAAGATTTTTGTTTTTTGTTCTTTTGAAGCGTTTGTTTTCATTGTTAAACGTATTAAATTAGAATACTCTTATTAGTATTAAATTAGAATACTCTTATCGTTGGAACAAAATATTATTGTTCAAAATTTTGTTTATAAAGGTTAGATTGTACAATGCGCGCATGCCTGTTGTGTATAAATTCTAAATAGCCGGTACATATATCACCTAAATAGAGGCGAACGACGGGGGAAGTACGTTTTATCCGAAAATTCATATAAATAAGGAAAAGTCTTTGAAAAACTTACAGGCAACCGTTCAAGATCACGTGAGACCGTAAGTGCAGTAGTCTTCTCGTGTTGCTGCATCGTATTCGTCAACTAGATCCTGTACAGTTTCCCTGCTGTTGTCCAATTCATCCAGATTATCCTTGAACATCTCCTCCTTTCTAAACTGTTCCAAGAAAGCTTCGCGCTTGCGCAATTTATCGTACTGTGCAAGAGCTCGGTCAAACAACTAACGAAAGGAAAGAACATGCCACAATTAAGACAAAGGAAACAATTAAGGCAACAGAAATACAAAAAATGTTACCAACCGAGTTAATATTGGTATGATTGGCGAGCATAAGACCAGATACACGGTGAGCGGTTTGTATGTAGGGGGATTTCCGGGACAAAGCCACCTGTATACTGGCAGGTCCCCATGGAATAAACTGAGCTAATTTTCGCTCCCTTATGCGCTGTAATGACTTGTGGACCTGCGTCGGGTCCACTTCGCCCTGAAAAAGACTTCATTACGACCCCTTACATAATTTATTTCCATTTCAGTTACTTGAATAATGTTCAAAATTGAAATGAAACAATGTTGAGAATTTCTGTCCAACGTGGTGGACACCATCATGTTTTTGGGTTGCAATAGACGTCTCATGACGTCCAAAACGGTCGTCTTTCTTACACTAACTTCGTCGGTGTCTGTTGAAAGTGGCGTGTAGCCTGTCATGAGAAAATGTAACCGAGGAGTTGGGATTAAGGGAGCTAATAGGCCCATCAAATCATTGTTCATGTACGATGGATACCTGCAATAACCGTTAATGTAGTTTCGATTTTAAATTGTTGCTTTAACATACCTCAAAGTGGTGGTGGAGACTGACATGATGGTGCTGACTAAGCTGTTGATTTGGGTGAAGGTAGGGTTTTGAATGTGGAGTCTGTCAGCGGCAATACGGTTCAATGCAGTGTTGTCCAGCACGACAACTGAGTCTGCTGATTCTGTTAATCTTTTTAGGGTCAATAAGGAGTTGTAGGGCTGCACGACCACATCACTAAAAATGTAATCCAACATTAATTGCTTAATAAAAAGTTTGGATTTTTGGATTTTTTTGTACCTTATTTCATCTTGATTTGGAAAAACACTGTATGTTTGTACCAGTTTTTTCGGAAAACGGTCTGACAATTTCTCCAAAATGTTTGAACCCATTCCTGACCCAGTTCCCCCAGCAATTGAATGACAAAGTACAAAACCCTACATAATATTAATTAATAAAATATACAAATTAAAAATAATTAGGTACTAGTACTTCCAAACTATCACTTCCGTCAGCTTCTCGGTCGATAATATCAAAAATTTCTTCATTCAACTTTTCCCCCTGTGAGTAACCGCTTGCCCAGTTATTGCCTGCACCTCCTCCATTCTTTGACAAGAAAACATTTTCCTGATTGTACAATTTTGAATAAGGAGAATTCATAATAGTATTAATGACTCGAGGTTCCAAATCCAACAGCACTGCCCTTGGAATGTAATGTTCATCATCCGCTTGATAGAAAAAGACATCTTTTCTGTCTACACCTTCTGTAGCAAAGTCTTCCAAAATACCTTCGGGATTAATGCCGTGTTCTGCACATAAACGTTTCCAGAACTCGAAACCAACTAGAAACAGACCATACTATTAGTAAAAGTTTAAATAGTTAAACTTAATTACAAATTTACATAACCTCAAATTAATATGAATAAAATACTTAATAATTATATACTCACTTTGATTGCCACATTGGCCCAATTGCAATGTTATCATTTCGCACGGCATTTTGATTGTTATTAATTTAATGTAATAATTTTGGAGAACTGATTAAAATATATCCAATTTTCGTTCAACGAATAATTTCCCTCCGATTTAATTGGTTATGTTCAACAATTCTTGAATGTGATTCGTCGACGCATTTGAAATGCTTAAATCTCATTGGTTGTGGTTATTGAAATATTTAAAAATATAACTATTATGTACCGGGTGTTAAATAAATAATGAACAGGAATAACTTTAAATTTCATTGAGAAAATATGTTTAACTCAGTGAGCAAGTCTTTCAAACTTATCCCTAATACTCTCATTGGCACCCAGTTCAACTAACAGTTCAAAAGCCCTAATTTTTTTGCTTTTTGCAGCGCAATGTAAAGGTGTTAACTGAATTTTTGTAGTAATATTAGCGTTAAAATTTAGTCTTTTAATAATATATTTTATAAGGTCCTCACTACCAACACTAGCTGCCAAATGTAAGATAGTAAAGTCTGAATTATTTCGTTCTAACACATTCACATCACTTCTGCCCACTAAGTAATGAAATACAGGCAAAGAATTGCCTAGGACTGCCTCATGTAAGGGTGTATTACCACATTTGTCTTTACAGTTAACATCCAAGCCCAAATCAAGTAAAGTAATTACAATATTCAAGTGATTATGGAGGCACGCTATGTGTAAAGCAGTCCTACCATTTTTAGTAACCTTTTGGACATCTAAACCATATTTTATCAGACATTTTAAAATGCTTTCGTCACCTTCACGACTAATAAGGTGCAAGGCAGTCCAACCGTCTTTATTTTCGTAGTTAACTAAAGCGCCATTACTTAATAACACTTCAACAGTCTTATAGCTATCTTCCGAACCAGCCTTTGTACAGGCCAACATTAAAGGAGTCCAATCAGCCCTTTTTAACGCGTTAATATTTGCATTATTCTCCAATAAGACCTCACAAACACAATATTTAGAAAACTGAGCTGCTTCATGTAATGGAGTCTTATCGTCATTATTTTTGCAATCCGTCTTTTTTGGAGTATAGTCTTTTAATAAGGTTTTAACGATTTCCACCAAACCTAAACGTGCTGCTACGTGTAGTATGGTGTCCCCAGTTTTTTCATACCGAATTTCTGACCAATGAACATTTGGGGATGTTTCTTTCATATAAGTAAGGGTTTCTAACGATCCTGAGTGTATTTCGCGTAAGATTTTTGTTTTTTGTTCTTTTGAAGCGTTTGTTTTCATTGTTAAACGTATTAAATTAGAATACTCTTATTAGTATTAAATTAGAATACTCTTATCGTTGGAACAAAATATTATTGTTCAAAATTTTGTTTATAAAGGTTAGATTGTACAATGCGCGCATGCCTGTTGTGTATAAATTCTAAATAGCCGGTACATATATCACCTAAATAGAGGCGAACGACGGGGGAAGTACGTTTTATCCGAAAATTCATATAAATAAGGAAAAGTCTTTGAAAAACTTACAGGCAACCGTTCAAGATCACGTGAGACCGTAAGTGCAGTAGTCTTCTCGTGTTGCTGCATCGTATTCGTCAACTAGATCCTGTACAGTTTCCCTGCTGTTGTCCAATTCATCCAGATTATCCTTGAACATCTCCTCCTTTCTAAACTGTTCCAAGAAAGCTTCGCGCTTGCGCAATTTATCATACTGTGCAAGAGCTCGGTCAAACAACTAACGAAAGGAAAGAACATGCCACAATTAAGACAAAGGAAACAATTAAGGCAACAGAAATACAAAAATGTTACCAACCGAGTTAATATTGGTATGATTGGCGAGCATAAGACCAGATACACGGTGAGCGGTTTGTATGTAGGGGGATTTCCGGGACAAAGCCACCTGTATACTGGCAGGTCCCCATGGAATAAACTGAGCTAATTTTCGCTCCCTTATGCGCTGTAATGACTTGTGGACCTGCGTCGGGTCCACTTCGCCCTGAAAAAGACTTCATTACGACCCCTTAAGTAATTTATTTCCATTTCAGTTACTTGAATAATGTTCAAAATTGAAATGAAACAATGTTGAGAATTTCTGTCCAACGTGGTGGACACCATCATGTTTTTGGGTTGCAATAGACGTCTCATGACGTCCAAAACGGTCGTCTTTCTTACACTAACTTCGTCGGTGTCTGTTGAAAGTGGCGTGTAGCCTGTCATGAGAAAATGTAACCGAGGAGTTGGGATTAAGGGAGCTAATAGGCCCATCAAATCATTGTTCATGTACGATGGATACCTGCAATAACCGTTAATGTAGTTTCGATTTTAAATTGTTGCTTTAACATACCTCAAAGTGGTGGTGGAGACTGACATGATGGTGCTGACTAAGCTGTTGATTTGGGTGAAGGTAGGGTTTTGAATGTGGAGTCTGTCAGCGGCAATACGGTTCAATGCAGTGTTGTCCAGCACGACAACTGAGTCTGCTGATTCTGTTAATCTTTTTAGGGTCAATAAGGAGTTGTAGGGCTGCACGACCACATCACTAAAAATGTAATCCAACATTAATTGCTTAATAAAAAGTTTGGATTTTTGGATTTTTTTGTACCTTATTTCATCTTGATTTGGAAAAACACTGTATGTTTGTACCAGTTTTTTCGGAAAACGGTCTGACAATTTCTCCAAAATGTTTGAACCCATTCCTGACCCAGTTCCCCCAGCAATTGAATGACAAAGTACAAAACCCTACATAATATTAATTAATAAAATATACAAATTAAAAATAATTAGGTACTAGTACTTCCAAACTATCACTTCCGTCAGCTTCTCGGTCGATAATATCAAAAATTTCTTCATTCAACTTTTCCCCCTGTGAGTAACCGCTTGCCCAGTTATTGCCTGCACCTCCTCCATTCTTTGACAAGAAAACATTTTCCTGATTGTACAATTTTGAATAAGGAGAATTCATAATAGTATTAATGACTCGAGGTTCCAAATCCAACAGCACTGCCCTTGGAATGTAATGTTCATCATCCGCTTGATAGAAAAAGACATCTTTTCTGTCTACACCTTCTGTAGCAAAGTCTTCCAAAATACCTTCGGGATTAATGCCGTGTTCTGCACATAAACGTTTCCAGAACTCGAAACCAACTAGAAACAGACCATACTATTAGTAAAAGTTTAAATAGTTAAACTTAATTACAAATTTACATAACCTCAAATTAATATGAATAAAATACTTAATAATTATATACTCACTTTGATTGCCACATTGGCCCAATTGCAATGTTATCATTTCGCACGGCATTTTGATTGTTATTAATTTAATGTAATAATTTTGGAGAACTGATTAAAATATATCCAATTTTCGTTCAACGAATAATTTCCCTCCGATTTAATTGGTTATGTTCAACAATTCTTGAATGTGATTCGTCGACGCATTTGAAATGCTTAAATCTCATTGGTTGTGGTTATTGAAATATTTAAAAATATAACTATTATGTACCGGGTGTTAAATAAATAATGAACAGGAATAACTTTAAATTTCATTGAGAAAATATGTTTAACTCAGTGTTAAATCTGAAAATAAGGATTTTATATTATTTTGTGCAACTTCGACTAATTAAATAAACCTAAAACAAAAGTAAAACATTAATTATTACATAAACTATCGAATAAACTTTTACATGATGTTATGTGAAATATGTAAATAGATAAACGTTGCTAGGATGTTCAAATGTTTGATCTATATATTATACGCTGTCAAACAGAATTTGTTCGTTTGATATTTTTAATTTTCAATTCCCTTTAAAAGAATGTCCGCTGGCATAGAAGTTATAAATGAAAACCAAGAAAATTTGGAATGCCCAAAAACGGCAAAAAGTCATTCCAAATACAACTGTTTAGACGATATTTCTCGGGGCCCCCGGTAAGACCATCAGTTTCAAAATTATTTGAATACATTTTAATTATTTCTAGAATGACAAAAGAATTCATTAAGAAACACTGCAAAGAGCACAAATTGTACCAAACACCGCACTTAAACGACGTCCTGTATTTGCATTTTAAAGGTTTTTCGAAAATTGAAAATTTGGAAGAATACATAGGATTAAAATGCCTTTGGTTGGAAAACAATGGATTAATCGAAATAAGCGGTCTTGAAAATCAAACAGAACTGCGAAGTTTATTTTTGCATTATAATCTTATTAAAAAAATTGAAAATCTAGACAAGTGTACCAAACTGGATAGCATAAATTTGTCGCATAATTTGGTCAGAAAAATCGAGAATTTGGGCACGTATCTGGGAAAATATAATAAATATCTACAACATTTCGACTTTTTCAGATTGCATCCCCCAACTCCATTCTCTGAACCTTGGCAACAATTACATAGAAACATTGGACGAAATAGAACACCTGGAAAAATTACAGGAGTTGTCCATACTTGACTTGTCAAACAATCACATAGACGAAGCTTTGATAGTTCAAACGTTGAGCAGAATGAAAAATTTACGCGTGGTCAATCTCATGGGGAATCCCGTAATTCGAAAAATACCGCAGTATAGGAAGACACTCATATTGTCATGCGTGAGTGTTATATTACAACAAATGAAAATACTTGTAACTAATTTTTTTATTTCGTAAAGAAAAACTTGAGATATCTTGATGACCGTCCGGTATTCCCAAGGGATAGGGCTTGTGCAGAAGCTTGGTAAGTAATACGAAAACAAAAGAGAGAAAAAACAACCAATTCAAATAAAAGACGAAAAATGGAAAACAAAAAAATAAAACAAAATTTCAAATAAAACACGACTAAGAAGTAAAACAAAAGTACGTTCTTCTTTTTTTACAGGGAACGAGGAGGCTTTGCCGAAGAACAAGCTGAAAGACAACGTTGGATCGACAGAGAAAATGCAAGAATAATGGACAGCGTTTATGGTTGGTACCATGCGAAGAATATAGACTTTGAATTGAATTAAACATAATTATTTATTGTATTTTTCAGGACTCTTGCGGTTGAGAGACCAAAGAAGAAACAACAATCGCGTTCCGCAGCAAGATAGCGGAATGGGGACCTCATTGCAAGACTCGGAATCAGAACAGGACAGTCTTAGTGACAATACTCGTTCTGAACTTGCCCAAAACGAAGCCAATAGCGCCAGAAGAGATGATTCAACCGAATACAATCCCACACCCCATCTGGACAGATTCAGAATTGGCGTTTATGTCCAAGAAGACGCTGAAGAAAATCCAATAAGCCAGTCCACATCCCATGCAAACCTTTCGGAATTACCATCCGAGGACGAGGCAGAAATACTACCCGATGACGAACGCAACAATAATAATAAAGAGGATGAAACCCTGTTTGGTGATCTATTTACAGAAAGAAGTGAAAGCGAACAGCACCCAATAAATAATAGCGAACAAAGTGATGAAGAAGAAACATCTGAAGAAGAAGATGGAAGCGATAGTGACAGCAGTAGTAGCGTTGACTTTATGATGAATGGAGAAACTGATGAAAACTATTTGGATTACAGGGAATGCATTAACGATTTTAGTCCAAAGAAGAAACGATATCTAAAGAAAAAAATGCCCCCGCTGATCGAAGAAATATTTGCGGAAAACGAGACGCAACGAAATGCTGCTGACGAGGATACGAACGTGACCGAAACGTTGCAAGAAAATAGACTGAAAGAAGAAAAAGAAGAAAGAGTTAACCATATCACAAAAGAAGAATGGCTACGAGCTGTGCAGAATTCAGATCTGGAAGAAGTACAAAAAAGCACAGAACAATTAGAAGAGCCAAAAGAAGAAAAGGTTGACACACTGGAACAATCGTTCCAAAAATTGATGGCGTCTTTGAAGGAAGAAAGAGACGGACTAAAGTACGCTAAATATCCAAAAGATTCGTCTACAAGTAACGAAGAAAGAGAAACAAAAACGAAACACAATGATAACAGACACTTTGATGACCTGATTTCTTCAAAGCAGGATCTCAATGAACAAATTCAAGAGAAACTCGAAACAAATGAATATAGCAAAGAGAACGATGTTGTTGAACCAAAAATTTATGAAGAATGTAGTGCATCAACTGAAGCAAATGGTGATGGTACAATAACGTGTTCGTCATTAAACGAAAACGGTGTCGATACCAACGAGGAAAAGTCATTCAAAGATGCCGGAGTCACTGCTTCGCTTGAACCAGAAGCTACGCCAGATCAATTAATGGCAGACGAAAATAAAACCGAATCGTCATCAGATGAAGAAAGTGACGACGAATCTAAGACGTACTACGAAAAGATCGATAAATACGCGACACCGTTAGCGGAGCGCCTTGAAGATGTAATCGGAGAAGACGAAGATCAAATATTCGAGGTCATGACGAGGGATGAAATGAAGAAAAAGTCGCAAGACGTCGTCGAAGAGAAAGTACGAAAAATATTACCATCAGAAGATGAAGAAACAAAAGACGGCGAAAACAAAATAGGAACAATAAAAGACAACGAAATCGAAGAAATGTTTAAATCTGAAGTTTCCACTGGACATTGCGTCACCGAAAACATAGCTGAAGAAACGAAAGCTAAAGGCGAAAAATTGTATAATAAAATTGGAAATCGAGAACACGAGTCAATCAAAGAACTGCTCAAATGGGACAAGAAACTCAACTGCGAGAAGTTGCACTTCTTACTGCCACGCAAAAAGGTGGAGCGCAACTTAATCGTACCATGCCCAAATAATGATAGCACTCTGCCAAAATTCCTCACTTCACCTTCTTTACAACCGTCAAGTAGTAAGGTTTTATTTGGGTCTCAAAGACCTTACTACCAAGAAAATGCTTCAGCATGTGTCGAAAAAATTGGCGATATTCGAAAAATCATGAGCGATTTCGAGAAAGAACTGGGCGATTTTATAGAAGAGCATGGGGATTCTTTTAGAAAGACTCTAAAACAATCAATGGCGCTATTAAAGCAGTTTGATAACAACCTTGCAAATAAAAAATCATTTTTCGATAAATTAACGAATAAAGTGAGTGTTTCCGAAGAGGAAAATCAACCACAAATTAAAGAAATAGACGAAGAAGTGTCTAACGACAGTCTTTTATTGATCAAAAAAGACAATTGGGTAGAAACAAACAAAAATATAAGAAATACATTAACAAATGATGACACCAAACAAACAATAGCAGACGAAGAAGGCGCGGTTAAAATAGTTGAAGTTGATTCTTTACAAAAAATCGCTAGGCGTCTTGTCGAAGAAAACCGAAGTCAACACCTGAACGTTCAATCAACGGAATCAAATGAAAACAATAAACAGAATGATAACACAAACAAACCGAATTTAGAATCAGACGTTACTAGCGACGTTATGATTAATGTAGCCAAAGAAAACATTGTAGAGAGCGACCGCAACGATCAGGACGATATTATTGCAGATTGCGTAATAAAAAGAAACGTAACTTGCACATTAGAAATGCAATTGGCTAGAGAGGAAGAGTAAAATTCTATTAGTTTATAAATTATGCTTTTATCTGTTGCTNAATTTCCAAATTTTATCAAAGTATTGGGTGCGGTACACGACTTAACCGGTGTCCTTGTAATAACGATTGTAACCCCCGATTCATGACGTCATAGCGGCCATGCTAAATTTACTGCCCTCTAACATTTTTCATAGAAATTGTAATTGAAAAGTTACCGATTAATATCGAAATCTATATTACCCCATTCCAAAATCCTGAGTTAGGAATATTGTATAATAATAGAAACTAATAATTTGAAAGAAAAAATTATTAGCCCGCAAATTTGTCCGTATAAGGATGTTTACCCCCCCCCAACAATTAGGAAATTTCTTCTAAGAATCTTGCCCTACCCCCTTTTCCCCATTAGCGCTCCCTCCCGCAGATAACTTGTACACATAATTATTTAATACAATACAGTGGCGTAGCCAGGGGGGAATAAAATCTTCTACCCCCCCTCATTTAACGTTTTCGACCTTATATGAATCTTGCCCTACCCCTTTTTCCCCATTAGCGCCCCCGCCAGCACATAACTTGTCGTACACATAATTATTTAGTTATAGGTACAATACAGTGGCGTAGTCAGGGGGGGGGATTAAAATGTTCTATCCCTCTCTTGACGTTTTCGATCTGATATGAATATGTATATACCCATTAGCTTCCCCACACATTGCTAAATGAAGACTTACACACAACCATTTATCAGATACAATATAGGGGAGGGGATTGGGATGTTCTATCAGTCCCCCCCTAAACATTTGCGTCCTAATATGACTAAGTATGAACCTTGCCCTACCCCTTTGTCCCCATTAGCGTCCCAACCGGTTCTAAATGAAGACGTAAACCTAACTATTTATTAGATACAATACAAGGGGGTAACCAGGGGGGATTACAATGTTCAAACCATCTCCCCCCCTTAATACCTAAGAAGTTTTGGTAGTTTTTAAAGGTTTTGTGCGTCCTTATACGTATTTGTGCACATTTACGAATCTTGCCCCCCCCTTTTCACCCTTAACGACCCCCCTCCGTCCGTTGCTAAATGAAGAAGTACATATAATTATTTATTTATTTATTAGATACAATACATTTTAACACACAGGTTGCTATAGTAAGTCTTACATACATCTCATTTAAATCAGTAACAATAAAAAATGACTTCTAACTCTACTCCTTATATGCAACTGCAAGCTGTCGTTATTATAGCTTGACAGACAATATGCGAACAAATGAAGACTCTCGTCGTAGAAGGCCGGTCCCGCGGTCCCATCGCCTTAGCACCGGGCGCGAATGGGACCCGGGACGCCGATGATGATGATATATATTATTATATCATTCTTTTCCTTTTTTAATTATTTTATCATTATAATTAATCAATAGTAATCAAAAAGACGCTACACGTTTTGCATAATTGTGCCCTGTCTGTAAAATTATTTATGTAGTATAATTACATCCGACAGTAGAATTTATTTTTAATTAATTATAATAAGATCTGTGACATTTCTTATACATAAAAACGATCGCGCAAGGAACCCGGGCCGTGCCGATCCCGAAACCGAGCACGTTTCGGGATCGGGGAACTTTCGGGCCGACGAGGGACAACAAAAGCCGGCCTCGCGCACGCGCACACGTCATCTGAATCGATAATGCATCCGCGCAGCGTCCGTCCCACGCATTGGGACTTGGGAGGCCCGGCACACGTCACGTCCGAACCGACTGTGAGCCCATATTTCCCGATTGAAATCGAGAAATCGAATCGGTTCGGCCGTACGACAAAAGACAAACGAAAAACAAAACGACAATTACAGAACAGAACAAAAGAGTGCGTTAGGTTTGTTTCTTTGTTTGCTGTACCGTCTCCGGCTGTCCTCGACCCGCGCGGCCCCATCACATTCACACCGACAACAGCACGCACGCTTTCTTAATAAATAATTTAAATTAAACCTAATCGTAAGTTTACCTTCTGTTTTTGTTTCTTTAGTAGGTGGTTGGCTTGTTTTCTTGTTTTACAACACCGGACGAGTCCGCCGCGTGTGCCGGCAGGGACTTACGTTTAGCGTTAACATTTGCTACGTTTGTGCCGAACGGAAAGTGTACCTGTTTTTATTTTGTTTTATCTGCGATAAAGTTGGCAGTATTGGCGAAAAACACGATATCGCGTCGTGCCGGCACAAACAAGAAACGGCTCTCGCAGGTGCCCTTAAAATAGAAGTGGGTACTGACTATGCATTTACAATTTTTTTACCATTATTTTTAATAATAGTGTCGTGTGTGTGTATTTATGCGCGTGTTTTGTGTGTATTTTGTTTGTAGAAATGTGCGCGAGGATTGAAGAGCTGACCGAAAATAATTGAATTGGAAACAAAACAATAAGAAAAGGCGTGACAAACGAAACGACACCTTTCGTTTGTCTTCTCGCTGCCGAAAAGAAACAAGAGAGAAGAGTTGACTGCGATTCATTTCACACACATTCACAACAAGCGAAAAGCTATTTATTTATTTATTATATCGTAAATTGTTCCTAGAGTTTTACCATGAAATCTGCGTTTGAATGCAAACAGATATGGCATCATGAATAATAATAATAATAATAATAGTACAATAGAATTAATTAATATACGAAAATAAAAACAAAAATTATTATTACAAGTATTTACAAACACAATCAATGTTGTCATCGTGTGCTGCCATCTATCAAACCACGTCAAAACGAATTTCAGACTGATTGATAGGTTAGTTTGGATTTGGCAGCCATTCCACTCAGACGTGCTTCGTTATTTTCGCTAAGATGGAAAAAGAGCAGTATCGTTCGGNTTATAATAATAATAATAATATAAAAACGGATAATCAATCAATTAATTTCCTGTTCCCTACTACGATTGTGAAATATTAAAAAAAAAAAATAAAAAAGATGAACCAACGAAATCGAAAGTGCGCACCAACGTGTCCCCATAAAATATGGTAATCATAATACAAAAACCCCGAAAAATGCATTAATAATACAGTCTCGCATGTACAGAATGTGGATAACTATGTACTATGTACGATGATCGGTGCAGGTTCAATAACTGGGACGAAACGTTGTTATTAAGGGAAAATAAAAAATGAGACAGAGATAGAGAGTGAGGAACACACCATATACGAATGATTCTATGACGAGGCAGTACTTGATTTCTTTGCTTTTCCTTCATTAATATATATTTTTTTTATTCGCATCATACTATCGTCCAAGTGCCTTTAAACATTGGTCACCAGTGTTTTTATTTACGCGTTATAGTTACAATAACTAACTCCTAACCTCATCTGTTTTTTTTTTAATGTTTTGTGTTTGACTAGTTTTAAACAGTTTCGCACAGCGTTTGAAAGGAAAACTAAAAACAAAGGCCAAACAAACGAATCCCGAAAGATATGTTCATTTTTTTTTTTCACGATGGCAATGAAAGAAACAAACGAAATTAAAACAAAAACGTATCAATAACAATGACACTGTTTGTTTCGATTGTTTTTTTTCTCCTTTTCTTGTTATTTTAATGCATTTTGTGCATATTATTATGTATGTATTATAAAAGTAACGTGTGTACGGGTGTGTAAAAACTGAAAAGCAACTGAAATGTATGTTATGTAGTAGTAGCCTTATAAAAAATGCACAGGTAGTAAAAAGACAGTTTTATAATTGTCGAAGACGATCGACGACTGATTACCACCGTTCTAGTTCCAAATGCGAAGGAAACTGTCCCATGAACCCGTCCCAACGGCCATCCCGTTCTCCGTAACACCTAAACAGCTCACTCGATTATCGTGACCAGCTAAAATACCTAAACAAAAGAAAACAAAATTAAAAACTGACTTATTACTCAATCACAAACACCACAAATATTAAAATACTATTATCTGAAATCTGAAAAATTAATATGTAAGTTGTATTGAAAGCATTGTTATGTTGAAAGTGGCGTGTAGCCTATGATGAGAAAATGTAACCGAGGAGTTGGGATTAAGGGAGCTAATAGGCCCATTAAATCATTGTTCATGTACGATGGATACCTGCAATAACCGTTAATGTAGTTTCGATTTTAAATTGTTGCTTTAACGTACCTCAAAGTGGTGGTAGAGACTGACATGATGGTGCTGACTAAGCTGTTGATTTGGGTGAAGGTAGGGTTTTGAATGTGGAGTCTGTCAGCGGCAATACGGTTCAATGCAGTGTTGTCCAGCACGACAACTGAGTCTGCTGATTCTGTTAATCTTTTTAGGGTCAATAAGGAGTTGTAGGGCTGCACGACCACATCACTAAAAATGTAATCCAACATTAATTGCTTAATAAAAAGTTTGGATTTTTGGATTTTTTTGTACCTTATTTCATCTTGATTTGGAAAAACACTGTATGTTTGTACCAGTTTTTTCGGAAAACGGTCTGACAATTTCTCCAAAATGTTTGAACCCATTCCTGACCCAGTTCCCCCAGCAATTGAATGACAAAGTACAAAACCCTACATAATATTAATTAATTAAATATANCTAATTCTTGATCCGCGCGGATGTCGAAAAGGCGACAGGTTGCGTCGTCACTGCCCGTTGCGAACGCGTAACCGTTGGGGAAAAACTGAAAACGGACGAATAAAAATTAAACAAATGAACAACTATTAAAACATACGAAAAACGAATAAACAAAATAAATTATAAAATAAATGAACAACTACTAAAACATCTGAAAAAAGTACCAACTAAAACAAATGATACAATAAATGAACAACTATTAAAACATCCGAAAAAATACCAACTAAAACAAATGATACAATAAATGAACATCTATTAAAACAGACGAATGTGAAGAAATTTCATTAAAACAGACGAATGTGAAGAAATTTCAATGAAACAAACTCCTACCGTGACGGCATTTATGTCGGACTCGTGTCCAGGAAAAGTCTGTTTGCAACAGCCCTCCCTGATGTCCCAGAGTTTCGCAGAGGCGTCACACGCACCCGATACGAACGTTCTCATGTCGGGAGACAATGACAGGGACATGACGTCGCCCGTGTGTCCCAAAAACGATGTCACCTGCTGCCCAGTTTCTATGTCCCACAGAGCGCTATAAAAAAGAAGCAAACAATAATCCTTGTCCCAGAAGAACGGTCTTCGACGACTTACCAACTCATATCACCCGAAGAAGTAACAATTTGGTTATCGTCTAAAAATCGACAGCAGGAGAGGTAACCGGTGTGACCGGGGAGTTCCCGGCTGACGCGTACGTTACCTTCCCTGGTCTTCAGACTATAGATGGAGCAAATGTTGTCCAAGCCTCCGCAAGCCACGTAACTTCCTGAGGGAGCGTACGCACATGTCATCACCCACGAAGACCTTAATGGAATTGCATGAACCTGAAAGAAAAATGGCGTAACCACGTAACGTCACGTCACGTAACGTAACATTGTTTATCAGTAAAAATTCTTACTTTATTCGTAGTATGACTATCCCAGACTATAAGTTTGCCGTCCTGGGAGGCAGAGACTAAGTTCCGGGAGTCGGAACCCCAGTGCATCGCGTATATTTTCGCGAGGTGGCCCCTGAGAGTACGACGGGTCCGCATTTGCACCCGCCCGATCGGCTCCAGGCTGGCCGTAGCCTGCACAAGGGATGTATCGCATGCTGCTTTTCTTGCGTCCTATTCAACATAAGACAGTCACATTCAACTGTTAATCATTCTAAAAAAAGATTGTAAAAACATAAGACAATCTATCATTTTCAATTGTTAATCATTTTAACAAAATAATGATTGTGAAAACATAAGGTAGTCACAGTCGTTGCGATTTGTTCTTTTTTTTGGAGTTTTAGTAATGAAACTAATTTATAAACAGTTGAGAGTCATGCAGGTACAATTCCTACTTAACGTTAGTACATACATATGTAAATTTAAACTGAAGTATGTAAATTAAAAGGGACGATAGTTATCTAAAATATATGGAAGTACAAACAAATAATAGAAACAAAAGAGGATCAAGTCCTGCTGTTACTTACTCTGATGGCATTTTTTAATGTTTCTGCTTCTTGTCGTAGTGCATCCAATTCGTTCATACTGCTTACTGCTAACTAATGTTGTAGAAACCCTAAAAATAAAAACAAAAGGTATAAGGGCCCCCAATCGAAAAATTCCAATAGTTTGAATATGTAGATACAAAACATGTTTTGATTAGAAATTGGGAAAACGTAATTAAAGATTATCTAAATATTCAAGTCAACAGCAATCAGATAAATCGTATTTTCTTTATGATATCCACACTCAACAAGTATGATAGGTACTTATTATTATTTAAGGATACAAATAAGTACATAAGACCATGCAGATAATAGGTAAATGACATTCTTGCTAAGTGTGCAAATAAATGCAATTTAATTTCTTTTTTTCTGTTAAACACTTAAAATAAATAAAATAATATTTTCTGTTTCATTAGGCCAAAGATCTATATTTATCACTGAAATGGAAAGTTTTTCTAAGATACCTATGAAAGATGTTTATACAAAAGATTAGCACAATTAGTGTGTAAATTTAGATCAATTAAAATACATGGTTCCAAATGAAACGATTTATCTTATTTTATGCACGTAAATGTCCATACAATAGATATTATTTTAATTATCCAACATATTTATTAATTAATAAACTAAGTTTTATGGGGCTTTTATTTTGCTTGTAGGTATTTTACATTAATTTGCCTACCACAGTTACACAGAAACATCTAAATTAGGGCAATAAAATCAATTTTATTTCCTATTGTGATCTAATTAAATTAATATTGTAAATTAATGATCATATTTTCAACATAAAATTAAAAATTACTGGAATAAAACAACAACTTTATCATTTTTATTGTGAAGTAAAAAACGATATGAAAAGCACGATATAATATAGTTAACTAGCAGATATTGCTTTTATTTCTTTTAATTGTTTGTATAAATTTACTAATAAGATTCGTGCAATTAAAATCGATAATTTTTGTAGGAAAATTCGCTAGAAACCTGACTTTTCCACCATCAAGATTAACTACCTTTTTCTACTGTACTGGAGGTGAAAAAAAGTACAAATCAGGGCACAACATTAAAAGTAAAGTCCAACAGAGAATAAAACTTTAAAAACAAATGTAAAACCCTTTAAATATTCAGTATTTGTCCCGCCAAAATCAAATCGAAATTTTAGGGTCACACCTACTCAATCTGATGGCAACGTGACTTATTTTTAGTCATTTTAATTATTGACATCCAATAAAATAAACTACTTGAATAATAAAATGACGATTGTAAGGGATATTAGCGTGAAATAGATCATTTTTGATGAAATAAAAATATATAATTGACATCCGCCATGACAGTTCTCATCCTGTCTCAGCTCTGTATGATTTTTAAAGCGTTACAGGACATTTAAAAAATGATTTTGTAGGCATAGTAACATCAGATAACTTAACTTAAACGTTAGCATTATATAAGAAGGAGGCTGTTTACCTTCTTTATACGAACTGCAACACCCTTTTTGCACTCCAGGCTACTACCTAATGACAATGTTCTGTAAATCACGAATATAATCGTCTATACCCATGCAAATTCTTTAATACCACTTCTAAACACATCAGAAGGAGTTTCATACACTAAAACCGCACCGCAATCACTATTTCACACTAAATACAGTTTCACTGGAATTCTTAATTTCCAAATTTTATCAAAGTATTGGGTGCGGTACACGACTTAACCGGTGTCCTTGTAATAACGATTGTAACCCCCGATTCATGACGTCATAGCGGCCATGCTAAATTTACTGCCCTCTAACATTTTTCATAGAAATTGTAATTGAAAAGTTACCGATTAATATCGAAATCTATATTACCCCATTCCAAAATCCTGAGTTAGGAATATTGTATAATAATAGAAACTAATAATTTGAAAGTATAATTTTTTTGTAAAAATGGTTAAAACTCGTTTAAAAATTAGTAAAAACATTAAAAAATCTTTTGCGGCCATCTATATTTTTACTGTCTAACCTAAAAATAACGTTAACATAACCTGCAAATTTCTTCACAATACAGTTTTCTAGGTGAAGTTTAAATGGTCTCTGTATTTATGTACAAATAACGGAAATTTCTTCGAAAAAGTGTGACAAATAGTCCGACTAATGAGTCCGACATTTTGGTGTTGACAAAACGTAGTAAGGACGTTGGAAAAAATTACTGAAATAGTGGTGAAATGGGTTCTAATAAAAACGAAACTTCAGGAAATACAGTTAAAAATAATACCAAGCCATATGGTAAAGTAGTGCTAACGTTAAAAAATCAATTATTGCCTGAAGAAAAGCTTATCACAACTCCGTCACAAATTGATGGTCTAGATCCTGAAACTGAGACTGATTTACGCATTTATGGGTGCGAATTAATACAAACTGCTGGGATTTTACTTAGATTACCTCAGGTATGTTGGTTTTTCTTAATACAAAGGATACATTGTTTTAATAAGAGTTGGTGTCATTTAAATGATTGCACGTGTATTCGTTTATCAAATATAATTGTAGTGGCCAATATTTTCAGGTAGCAATGGCTACTGGACAAGTGTTGCTTCAACGCTTTTATTACTCTAAAAGTCTGGTACGCCATCCTGTTGAACAAACAGCGATGGCATGCATTTGCCTTGCTTCTAAAATCGAAGAAGCACCAAGGCGTGCTAGAGATGTTATCAATGTATTCAACCACATAAGACAAGTCACTGCTAACAAGTAAGTGTATTATTTTTCTAGTAATTTTCTGTTTTTTTTTGTTCTTTCAATTAAATATGCATAGATTTTGTAATACATATCTAAATTTATATGTGACACTGAAAAAGATTGTATTATGTAATTGTAATTTACATTTTTGCTTGTACCCTTGAAGATTATATGTGCCACATATATAAGTAATTTCTTGTATTATTAAGATGTGTATTGGTAGCTTAAGTATATGTTTATTATTTGTGTATAATGAAGCATAACTTTTGCCTAATTATGTTATTTTTTTTGTAAAAACAATTTCTAATTTAAAACAGGTCACAACAAACATAAAATAATAATTGTATGGCTTTTTCCCACTAGGATCATGTTTGTACAGGAATGAGTGAACGTACATATGTTCTTTTTATCTTGATGTAGAAACAGATTTTAAAAAGTACTTATTACTTTTCTTTCCAAAATTAAATTCAATGTTTTAGTTGAGTTAATGATTTAACGTAATTTTCACACTTGTATCTTAACAAACAAATTTTATTTAGTAATAAATTTTGAGTTAAAATTCATTGGAGATTGATATATTAATCATTATTTTTTATTTCTTATTATTTAATTAAATAAAGAAGAAAGTAAAGACAATGAGATCTTTTAGTTATATTAAAAGTCGTGATGGTAGGTGTTGTTGTGATATTTAAGAGGTAACTCAAATGCTGTTGTTGGTTTACAGAGGCACCAAGGCTCCCCACGGGCCTCTGTCCATCTTTAGTTACACTAGTGGAGACCACTAGACACAGCAGTGGTGGACTGTGATTGAGTTGTTTGAAACGTTGGCTAAGTCATTAGAGACTTTAGCAGCTCTCTTACGTGCACGCACATACACTCTCGAGACCTACCCTGAAAATCTCAGGTGCATCCCCCAATGCATGAGTCAAGGTTTGAAGGACGACATGTCAGAATTCTCCACAGAAATTCTGCATAGTGTAAAATTGAGGTTTGTACCATAAAACTGTTGATGAAATATGTTAGGTATTCTCTTGTATAAAACATTAATATAGAATATATGTAAAAGAATAACTTCTTAAGTCGTTTGAAAGAGAAATCAGTTGCGTTGATGTTAATTTTATTAATGACATAGGGTAAAGTTATTATTACTGTTAGCACTTTTTTCTTCAATGGGAAGAAAAATAATTGTAAATGTAATGCATATTTCTTATTCATAAATCAGTGCAACTTCTACTTTATTTTAAGTGAAAACAAGTGCTAATATTATTAACTTAAAAAAATTGTATGAAACTATAGCTGTTCCCCTGGCAGAGGCATTTTACTCATATTTATTGTATGCTTTAATTTATAATCTCAAACTGAAACATATTAACGATAAGTGTAACTTAGGATGGATTTGTCCTTAATCCTGAGGTAAAAGAAACTAAACACTTAAAGTTGTCTAAGAGAAAATTGTTTATCTCGTTAGATTTTGAGACCATTATTTTTTTTAGAAGATGTTCAAAACTGTTATGTTAATGTTAATTTCTGTTGAATATTATCTGCTAAGATTGAGTATTATCAAAACAATTTTGACACAAGTCGTTTTGTCAAATTTTTTGCCTTAATAGAGATTGACGACTTGTAGAAGCTTATACCAAATTTGCTTATAATTAGAGTGTGTTAGCAAACCCTCTCTTTTACAAGTCATCAATAATTGAGTCATGCATTGGGGACTTTTTGAGATCCCCACGAGAGTTCGAGAGAAAAGCTAACGTGGAAAGAACGATCGAAGACGAAGATGAACTGCGCAATTGTGCCTGCTACGCCGTTGCCTGCCATTAAAAAAAGATTTATCCCATTTTCCTCAATGAAATATTCGTTATTGAAAATTTTACTAGTAACCAGAGTAATTCTGTTGTAGATGTTACAGCGCGAAACAAGAAGCAATAATAATAAATAAAAATCTTTGGCAGTATCCGAAGGGTAGAGCAACGTAAACGAAGGTAAAAATATAGCCTCCCCCTCCACGTCCGTAAGGTGCAGGTAACGTAATTAAAAAGTGGTGGTTAAATTTTTGAAACGAAAGCAAAAAAAACATAATATCTGCAGTTATGCTTCATTATATTGATAATGTAACGTAATCTTTGAGGTGTAATTTGGAAACAAAGTTGAGTTAGAAAGTTTTACCACCATTTCTTATTTTTAAGATAGTGTTGTGTCGATTAAGATTAATTTACTGGCCGATTAATTGTGTTAGGTATCATAACGTGTTGGACGTTTTTCTTCCAAATTACATTCACAAAGGTTTTCGAAAGAGATGATGAAATCAAAAAATTGTGACGTGTTAAGATTAAATCCCTTTGAAAAATGGAGAGATTTAATTTTAACATGTCTTTTTTGTTTCTTTCTGTTTCAAACAGGCCCATAACGCCCGTCATTTTGGATCAGAATTACATCCAACTCAAAAATCAGGTCATCAAGGCTGAACGAAGGGTCCTGAAGGAACTGGGTTTCTGTGTTCACATTAAGCATCCCCACAAAGTAAATTCAGTTGCTTAATAGATTAACATATTTAGCTTGCTTTTTTGGTCAATTATATTTAAATGTTATTGACGTTTTAGTAACGAATTATAAAAGTACAGAGTGTTTTAGGATTATTTTATCAAATTTGAAACCAATTGTGAAAATTGTATCATTTAAATGGAATTAAAAAAAATCTTTAAAATCAAAATATTCTTTGGGCAATTCTTTAATTTAGTAGCTTTCAGACTTTGTTGCAAATAATCCCGAAACAGTCTCTTCTAGGACCTTTATATTTGTTTCCTCTTTTTACGCCTTTAGATCATCGTAATGTACCTGCAAGTCCTGGGCTACGAAAAGCACCAACAGTTGATGCAGTTTTCCTGGAATTACATGAACGACTCCCTTCGTACAGATGTTTTTGTGAGGTATCAGCCTGAGACAGTGGCGTGCGCCTGTATCTATTTGACCGCCAGGAAGCTGAAACTACCGTTGCCAAAGAACCCCGCGTGGTACTCCCTCTTCGGAGTTACCGAGGAAGACATCAGAGACGTCTGTGTCAGGATATTGAAGCTTTACACCAGACCTAAAGTGAGTAAAACTGTAAAAAGAAAATAAATGACTAATGGGAGGTTTTTGGGACAAGAAATTTGTCTTATATATTAGTTGTAAAGTAGTCTTAAACGAGTGTAATAGACCTTCAAGGGGCCTAAATTCGTCTTATGTATTTTATTTTGTGTTTTTTCTAGATAAATGTAGATGCCCTTGAGAAAAAAGTGGAAGATTTGGTGAAAAAGTACCAAGAGGCTAAAATAAAGGCTCGTGGAGGATCAGGGAATAACACACCTAATAACAATAGTCCTTCCAGTCCCAGTTCCCAGAAAACTTCAGGCGCTCATAACGCATGGGGTGGTTTCATAAGGTATTTTGTGCTCGTTATCGTTTTATATTTGTGTCTTGCCAGTGGATTTAATGGATTTTTTCACGAGTTGTTTTTGTTGTTTAGAAGTCGTGACCGTGAACCGTTAACGCTTACACAATGAGAAATTGCTAATAAGGGTGCATTCTTACATTGAATTCGCGTCACTATTTTAAATTTTAAATTCCAAATCCCTAATACAGAATAATACACTAGATTATGTTAAT